GTGGTGAGGGGGGGGGGGAAAAAGGTCTCAGGGGACAGGCCCGCCCCCCTGGCCTGGGAAGGAGGGGATCCCCCCCCCCCCCCCCCAGCAGAGAGGGCTTTGTCTCATGTGAACAGAGCTTTTGTGACGGTGACATCGAGCAGGGCTTGAACAGTGATGCCCACTTTGACCAGGCCTTTTTCTTCAAGGATGTGATGTGGTAGACATAGCTTTTCCTGAAAGGAAGAAGAACAGAACATCAGCTTTTAGGTGACTGGACTCTAATCATATCCCTTGCAGCATCGCTGACGGGAACTAAGCTGAGCACTGTGGACACCTGCTTGCTTCCCTTGGTCTCTGTTCCTCCCCCTGCTGACAGCCCACTGCAAGGCCTTTTCTGGGTTTGCAGGAAAAATAATGATTTCTCACAGATTAAAGTTGTTCCAGAAAGGCCCCTAACCACCCCCAAAATCTCCATTAGATTTAAACATTTAGGAAACTTTTCACTACATCAGATAGATGCACAGAGTTAAAACCGTATACCAAGAGTATCACAGCTTCTAACCCTCAGCAGCAACATTGCTAGCAGCCTCTCACACGTTAAAGGAGCTCAATTATGCATTTAGACAAACCACAGGCCATAACTGATCATCACCTCTGGTTTAATTCATTTTCCGTCCTGTGATCTCTCGGTGTGTGCATGCTGGGTGACTAGAGTCCTTTCTTTGTGGTTTAGGTACAATCTTATACACAATGTTTTTTCAAAAAGATTTGGTTTTTTAAAAATTTATTTCTTGGTGTTTTGCCTTCATGTCGTATGTACACCATGTCTGTGCATGGTACCCGCAGAAGTTGGAAGAGGGTGTCCTATTCCCTGGGGCTGGAGTTACAGGTAGTTGTGAACTGTCTGTTATGGGTGCTGAGAACTAAACCCAGACCCTCTGCAAGAGCAGCATGGGCTCTTAAACACTGAGCCATCTCTCCAGTCCCGGCATAAGGGATCTTAACCACGGCCCCCAATGACTTCTCTTTGAAGGTTATTTCATAAAACTGGCAAAGATTTAAATGTTCTACTTTCTCATGTTGTATTTTTGCTCTAGGGAAATGTTTAGCATATATTAGTCAAGCAAAATAATGACCCTTAGTCACTTCTTGTGTGTACAACCTTTCATGATCCACAAAGCAGTTTATGAAATAAGATGACTCCATCTTTGTCATTTGGCCCTGGTCTGATAATCATATAAGCCAGCCTCGTTCAGAGAAAGTTAAAACACACAATAAACACTTTCTCTTACACATCTGTCGATGGGAGATTCTCCACAGCCAATGGGCAGGGTTTTTTGTTGTTGTCTGTCTCCCCCAACCCCCACCTGATTATTTGTATCCTTTCACCAACATCTCCAGAACAACTGCTCTTCAGTGTCTGGTAACTTCTATGCTATGGGCTCTCTTTTTAGACTCACTATGTAAGTGAGATCATATGGCATTTGTCTTTCTGTGCCTGGCTTATTTCACTTTACATAATGTCCTCTAGGTTCCAGCATGCCTTCAGTAATGAAAGCTGAACAACTCTATTGTGCAGGAGAGCTTAAATGGATTCTGTATTAAGCACAGGTAGTGGGATGGTTTAGTCAGCATCCAGCCAAGCTCTGGCCCCAGGACTGCTTCCTTCCACACAACTCCCTGAGGAACAAGGCTCTCCTGCCAGCGTCTGAGCAAACGACTCTCCACAAATCATAAAAGACATAGGCATTCTGGGCTTAAGAAGATTTTCAAAGATAACCAGGACATCGGCAGTAATTTGTTTCACCTTCTCAAACAGCCAGGGTCCTACACAATTCCACACTCCTCTCTGGACTCTATTGCCCAACTGGTGCAGAGAATCTCAGGCTTGGACCCCAGGCATTAGGAAATGGCCACAGGGTAACAAGAGACAGCCAATTCTTGCTGCCAACAATCAAAACAGGATGATCTCCTCCACAGCATATTAGGCGTGCACACGAGTTTATACTGCTTGTCAATCTAATGGCCAAATGTCAATGTAAGAAAGGATGAAGGTTGTGTGTGATTGAGGTTGAGAGCGAGTCACAAGCATGGTGGGAGGGATAGTGACTCCTACAGGCATGGTGAGGGGACACTTTCAACTAGATGTTGGTGTCCATCTGCCATAGGCTTGGAAATCTCTTGGATGTGTCATTCTTTTGCCAAGGCTGTTTCCCCGTCTTCCTACTTCCCCAGCTCCCAAGTTAACCTCTGCCCACTGGGAAACTATAAATACTTAGTACAGCTAAGCTCCTAGTACCAGACATTATTTGGGGGGGGGGGCATTCACATTTCATAGCATATGATAAAATCATTTCAAAATCAGTAAATTGCTTAAAAAACCCTAAATGCTTCTCTCCAAAGTGAATATAGAATATCTCCTCTGAGAAATAGATTTGGAAGGATTCCCTAAACTAATAAAGAACTATTAAAAGATTAAAAAATATATTTTATGTGTATTGCCTCCATGTCGTGCAATACTTGTGGAGGTTGGCAGAGGACCTCTGGATTCCCTGGATTCCCTGGAACTGGAGTTATAGACAGTTGTTAGCCACCATGTAGGTTCCAGGAACCAAACCTGGGTCCTCTGCAAGAGCAAACAGTGTTCTTAATCACTGAGCCATCTCCCCAATCCCAAAAGATTTTAAAAAAATTTATATGTGTGTGTATGGCTGCATGAGTTTACATACAACACATGCATACAGGTGCCAACAGAGGCCAGAAGAGGGCACTGGATCCCTTGGAACTAGAGTAACAGAAGATTTGAGGCAACTAATCTGTATTCTGGGAACCAAATCCAGGTCCTCTGCAAAAGCAGTAAGTACTCAAAACCACTGAATTATCTCTCCAGCACCCTAAAGAAATATTTTAAAATTGCAAAGATCAAAACATTCTAAGCCTAAAAATGTGAAGTTTCCATATTAAAAAAACGAAAAAAAAAAAACCTCAATGAAAAGATCAACAACAGAAAACTTTGTAAAAATGTGTTTTTGTATCAAATTACAAAGGACTTTGTATGACATTAGCTCAACAAAGCAGGGGGGAGGGGCATTAAGAGATCAATAGGTAAAAAAAATGAATGGAAAGGTGATGACCAGGCCTGTAATCACAGCACTCAGGAGGTGTAGGCAGGAGGATCATAAGTTTGAGGTCTCAGGGCCCAGTAGCACACACCTTTAATTCCAGCACTTGGGAGGCAGAGGCAGGCGGGTTTCTGTGTCCAACCTACTGAAAATCATAGCTTAGCCTGGTGTCTAGTACATACATGCTCAGAACACTTACATTAGCCCACAGTTGGGCAAAATCACCTAATGCAGATCTTATAACTAAGTGTGGGTTAAGTATTGGTTGGTATCCTGAAAGAAAAACAAGAACAACAACAAAAAAAAAAACCCAAAACAGAATGTGTTTTTAGAATGGCACCATCTTAAGGGT